TTTAACTGGGTAAAAAGGTTCCCCTTGCACATATGTGCTAATCGTTTCTGATTCTAGGTGGCAGTGCTCATCTCCGTTTCAAAGGCGAAGAACCAGCGCTGTCCGAAGACGTCTCTGTGATCATGTGGCCAGCATGACTAAATGCCAAAGGCGCATGGAACACTGTTACCTTTCCACCAAAGTTGGTTCCTATTTTTTCTATTTGCATTTTTACATGCTTTCGAAATACTAGGTTGGCAGAAGCTGGGATAAGTAACGGGAGCTCACTCCATTACGCAGCGCTAGGGATTTGAATTGCCGAACTGCAGACCTTTCTGATCAACAAGCTCAGCGCCTTAGCCACTGAGCCACCACGTCCCTTTTTAACTGGGTAGATAAAGCCGAAATGTGGAATGTGTTAAAGCTATTAGCTTTAGCTAATAGCTAGGCCTGAACACTTAAAAAGATTCTTTTGTAATATTTATAGTGAACAAGGATCTAATTAGGGTATGGCTATACTTGCATTTTTACCAAGAGTTTATGTACTCATAATAACTCTATTTCCGTGTTTGTCTACTACACTGAGCCAAAAAACGGGCTGGTGCTATGGCAACTGCCTTGTTAACTATGTTGGGCAAACACAGCATTGGAGCCTAGGGAAATGATTAATGACCAGGAAGTCAATATTTGTTTCGATGAAAAAGGCCATATTCCATTTGTACTGCATTTATATTTATGCTAATAAAAGAACAAAACACCGATTTGGCATTTCCCCTTCTCTGTTTCCACCTGACCAAAAGCGCTTTTAAAGAAGGATCAATTTTCCTGGTTTCTATTTCTGTGGTGAAGAGGAGGTAGGTCTCTCTGTGTGTGTGTCTGTGTGTGTCTACCCCCCAATTTCGCAGACCCGCTTGGTCTCCGCGGGCCGCTACGTGCCCATCAGTGCCAACTGCTACCGCTGCATTGCACGGCCTTTCTAAAAAGCACCGTTCCAGCGGTCCCGGTTTCCGTGCTGCAAAACACCCGCGCCGCATCCCGGGCGAGCCGTGCGGCGCTCCAGCTCCGGCAGATCAGAGCAGGGGGGACAGCCCCAACCCCGCTATGACTCACTACGTCACGGGCTCGGGGGAGTTTCCAGCGAGCTGTCATTGCTCCTTTCTTCCCCGCAGGCAGCCAATCAAAGGAGGAGCTGCTGCAACTGGCCGGCAGAAGCGAAGGCGCGTCCACAATAGCCCGGAGGATAAGAGGATTGTGTAGTAGCGGGCGCACCTTACTTAACAGGTTGCCCGTGGGCGCCGCGCTGGACCTGCTGCTGGGTTCTCCGTTAGCCTCGGCCAGGATGGCGGCCGTCGATTGCGCAGAGGAGCCGCCTTCTTCTCTAGCACCAGATAAGGTTCGAGCGGCGATGCTGGGAGCCGCCGGGCTGCTACTGGCGTTGTGGTGGCTGTTGGGCCGCCGGACTCTGCAGCGCCTTCCCCCTGGCCCCAAGCCCTGGCCGCTGGTGGGCAACTTCGCCTTCGCCCTGCTGCCCAAGAGGCTGCAGGTCCACGGGGTCTTCCCGCCCCGCAAGAAAGAAGGGAACTGCGACCGAGCCGAAGATGGAAGGCCGGCGCCGATGCATGTGCTGCTTACCGGGCTGGCTAAAATGTACGGCAGCATCTTCCGAATGGACTTGGGCAGCCGCCACGTCATTGTGCTTAGCGACTTCGAAGCTGTCCGGGATGCGCTGGTCACTCAGGCCGAGGTCTTCAGCGACCGGCCCAGTATGCCCATCGTGGCCATCCTCACCGAGAAGAAAGGTAACGGGGCCGGTGAGCCGGCGGTGGACTCGACGGGGCGAAGGCTTGGATCAGGGACCCATTCCGGCTCTTGCGGGTGGCTCAGGAACTGGGTCTCTTGGGGGCAAAAAAGAGTCCAACCCGAGAGACTTCCCTGTCCTAAAGGCCCTCTACCCAGCCCTTAGTTTGGCATGTGTTTTTATTTTGATAATATGGGCGTGTCTGATTTGGTTTAGGCACACCCAACAAATCATGGTTTCNATCTAATATGCAATTATATTGGAAATATTATCCATATTATTTGGTCAATGCAACTTAAAAATGGATATTTTGCAGAATTTTAACAACAGGTTAGTGAAGGAAACAAAATAAAGATAGTTTAAGTGATTTTTATGTATAATAAAGTGATGTACAGAATGGGACAAAATAAAAATTGATATATGACAATCAATTATCATGGTGCTCAAAACAAAAAAAGGACATGACCTATAAATAATCTTAATGTCCTATAGATTCAAAGTAACAGGACATAATTTATTTCTATGGGTTGCTTTTATAACAGAGAAAGGACCAAAGGCTATTGGTCATGTCCATGTATTTAACTGACTATAAGAATGCACTGCATTCCAGTTGCTATGAATTAGAACATATGTGGCAAGATTGTATTATACTTAGCATGCCTATACTGTGGACAATAGGAATCTAATGCTGGCCTCAAGGGGCTGTCCCTAGGCCTCCACTGCTATCATATAATTTTGTGCAATGGCCTAGGCATCTTCCCTATCCTGCTCACCAGCAAAATGGCAATAACTCTTGTCTTACCTCCAAAACTGGCAACATACCAGCCAGCTTTATTACTAAATTAGTAGTTTATTTTGGAAAGCTGTCAGTATCCTTTTGTTGCAGGCATAGCACACACACTAACACTTGTGGCCATCATGTTACCAATAGATGTCCCATCCCAAATACATGCCCCATCCCAATACATACCCCATCCTGTTATCAGGTCCATGTATACTTGCAGACTTACTTATATGTTTCTCAGTATCTTTTCTCCAAGATACTCTTCTATTCCCAATTACTCCCTAAAAGAAGATTCTGCCGCCATGTAAATCAAATTCAGACAAAATGCACAACCTGTCCCCATACTGTATTCGTTAGGATTGTGTGTATTTCACAGTAATACACATAAGTGTGTTATCAGAATAGATGGCACCTAGGCCGTTTCTGGGACCTTGAAACAAATTCTCCAACCAAAGTGCAAATTTTACTCCAGTTCATAACTTATTTAACACAATAAGAAAATGTTTTTTTTAAAAAAATAATAATGATAAAAATAGTATACCTTTGCAAAGGTTACAGAAGGGTTGTGACTTCAAGAAACTTCCTGTTTCCTGTATCTGTTTTTCAGACTCACGTGGTTTTTAATATCCGGATTTTGTCATTTACAGAAGGTTTTACAATCACTAAATGATATAAGAGCAAATGAAATCTATTTCAGTGAGCTGAAATAGATTGCAATGCCAAGTGTACTTAAATGCCTGTGGAAAAATACATATGGTGTACTATATTTTAAAATAAATTAACTGTATTCTTCATTTCCTCATAGATTAAGTAACCTTTGACCTGATGGATCTACTCTCCTCCACATCCTTAAAATTAAACCTGCAAATGCCACTATTTTATTTCATTTCATTTCAGTTTAGAAATGTATAATGCTTATGCTAATAATAGTTCCCTTCAGGGTAGCCAAACTCCATGCATCTTCTACAGTCAACAAACAAGCACTGGGATAAATATGTCTGATTTTATTCTATTAAGATTGTAATAGAAATAAACTGAAAGCCAGTGTATTTCAGAGCACAACATAAAAAAAACCTGCTTCCAGATACAGACCCTGAATCATTAATAATTTACATGGGTTGTCTTTGCACAACATATTAGGCTGGGGGATGGGGGGAGCTGCAACCTGCACTCTCAGGGCTGTATATTCTGTGGCACCCAAAATTCCATCTAAATGGGGTAGCAGGAATTTCAACTAGCTGAAAGATTTGGCTTTGCTTCAATGGGGACTTATTTGATGTTTTAAGCCTTGCAAAAGCTTAGACAGTAATATTATTGTTCAAACTCAGGGCCAGTACATGTTCCAGTCACGTACTCCTAGAATGCAGCCCTTCACATACTTTGCAAAACTTTCTGTAGCCTTCAGGTTGTATGCTTCTGCCGCTGGGCTAAAACACAAGCACACAATATTTAATTCACTCTCTGATCATAAAGAGACTGTAATAGGTGGGAGACACAAGAGCTTCAGCCTAGGCAACGGTTTAATAAATCATATTTGAGTCTGAAGGAGAAGGGAGAAGCACCTCAGAATCCCAGGATTTGGGGAAAATAAAAGTGAGGGGTGGGAGAAGTATTTTGAGACACGCATGGTTTCGTTACGGAAACCTTACAATATAGGGTTAGTATTCTTGATTGTCCTTCTTGTCTGGATTACCTCACAAGTCCTAACACACACATTTAGCTTGGGCTGTTGGGCAAAACCAATTTGTTGATGGTGCAGTCTGTGGTTGATTTCTAAAAACAATGTTAATTAGCAATCATTTTAGTTAATAATGGATAAACCCACTGCACACATTTCTTTTGCAAGACATTTGCTTGGATTCCATAAAATCATTCTGTCTGCTTATGGATAACAATCATCATTGCACCTAATGGTGATTAGTAAGGTGACCAGTCCCACTTTTGAACAATTTGTCCCGCGTCCCACAGTGTTTTAAAAAAGTCCCGATTAAAAAAATATATTAATCAAACACCACCACCACCACCACCACGGTCAATGATGTCCCTCTTTACCAATGTTAAGATCTGGTCACCTTAGATTATGCTGTAGACATATCCTTCCAAAAATCTGCTACTAAAAACTTTACTAGCCTAGGATGACTAATAGACAGCCGCGGAATTTAAGAAAAAGATTTATTATTCCTTTATTAGCCACACGAAAGCCTTTAAC